TCACACACACACACACACACACACACACACAAACACACAGTGCTCCAATTACCCAGAACATTTTCTCCTGAGTCTGGTAATGTATGACATTTGTAATAGTTCATCATTCATTCATCCTTGTGTTGTTCTAAACCCATATGACTTTCTTTGCTCAACATCGAACACAAAAGGTGAGTTTTTGGTCTTTTTACCTCCTTCATGATTTTCATGGTGAAACTGAAAGAGAACAGACAATCTAAATCTAAAATGACAAACAAGCACCCTAAAATATCATAATGTTAATACATACAACACATGCACTATATCCCAAGTCATACAACGGCTATGTGTGGAATCGGCCCAAATTTTAGTCACTGCCCTTTAAAATGGTGCCATTTTTCTTCAATGACGTCAAACGTCACTCATGATCGATTGTTACTTTCAAAACATGCATTAAATGTTTATGGAAAAGGATGGCAAGGATATTCCTCAAAATTCACCTTTTATGTTTCAAAAATGAGGAACATATGTCAATTTACTATTCTTTCTCCCTTCACTGACACACAAACACAAAAGCTGACTCACAGCACACAAACTGCTGCACAAATCTGAGCTAGAGAAATGAGAGTGTCAAGGAACAATGTTGAACATGTGGCCTCCAGCATCCGTTCTGCCTGACCAATGACAGGTACCGCAGCGAAGAGGACACAAGTGTGTGTGTTTGAGTTAAACTGAGTTTATTCACAGCAGGTAAACTTTAAACAGCTGTGCGATGGTGAGGTTTACTCTGAGCAAACGCCTGACTTCCTTCTCTTTTAGCCTAACATAAACTGCTGATACAATCAACAGGAATCCAAACACATGGACAGGAAGCGTCAGGTTGGTACCCTTAACCCTCACCGCTCTGAAACTGCATTTACTGTGTATACAGAGTCTCATTTTGCAAACAACGGAAGACTTAAAAATCTCGTAGTGCATACCAGCCTTTGGAGTGCAGGAATTATGTGAGGATGTTATTGATTGATCGCAGCTTTGTATTAAACAGCATCGTTCGCTCCAGGCTCGTCAACGAGCTTGGGGACCTGTGTCTGAACACCCCTGTCTGCTGGTGGATCCTGGACTTCCTGTCAGGCAGACTCCAGGTGGTGAGGAAGGGCAGCTGAATATCATTGACCCTCACTCTCCACACAGGCATCCCCCAGGGCTCTGTGCTGGGCCCGCTGCTGATCTTCCTGAACTCTCTCTTCTCATGGCTCCGGCTTTACTGTGAAGTTTGCTGAGCTCATGGGTTTGGTGGGCCTGATCACAGATAATAATGGGAAGGTCTTTCTGGAGGAAACCAATCTGACAGACTCTCACTTAGAATGAATCAGTGGAGACAGTAAGCAACTTCACAAAGCACAAAGCACAGAGACCATAGGCCAGACACCAACATATTTAGTCTTGTTTAGACATTTGACATAAGTCAAAATAAATATTCACACTGTAGCCCATTCTGGTCAATAACCACCCACTCAGAGTAGAACTGACTATCTGACCGACATGTAAAGTGATCACAGGTTACTTTTTTCTAAATATAATCTAATTTGTGAATTACTGAAACATCACATTATTAATCATTTAGTTATAAAGATCCAATTACTGTATTATTATTATTATTATTATTATTATTATTATTAATAATGTTAATATTATGTAACAACAACATTATATATGCATAATAATACTACTACTACTACTACTACTACTACTAATAATAATAATCAATTCATAAATTAAACACAAAAAATCAGGTAACACTTTACAAAAGTTTTCAGTTTATTAATATAACAATAAAAATAATACAAAATATTATATTATATTATATTATATTATAAATTCAAAAATTATTGAAAAAAATCTGATAACACTACAATATTGTTTAATTGCTCATCATAAATGAACACTAAACAGTTACTTTTTTACATCATTTATTAATCTAGGTTAAGGTAAATGTATAAATATACCATTCATTGTTAATTCATGTTGGTTCATAATATATGAATACTGTTAATTTATACAACCAGAAATTTTAGAAATGTATTAGTATATGCAGAAATTAAGATTAAATTAATAAATTATGTAAACATAATGTTAATCATGATAAATGTTAAATCATGATGCCTAATGCGTGAACCAATGTTACCGCCATTACTGTTAATTGTTACTACATTTATTTTCACATCTATAAATGTCTTTGAGAATTTTTCGACTGGTAACACCTTTAAAAGGTAAATGTGTACTAGAGTGGGCAGAAGGCTGAAGTGTGATTATGAACTATGATATCTCAGACTGTATAAAACACACACAGGTTTTGTTCTGGTAGCATCAAAGCTGTAGTAAAGCCACGAACCTGACAGCACTCGACAAATACAATGTGTTTAAAATAAACCGGCTTTAGAAATATTCACACAGACCGGAGGGTTTTCAAGGTGTTTTACCAAGGGAAACATACTTCAGATCCACCACCACAGCGGCCACAGAGATCATCAGCCCCGTGGCTAACTGCTCTTATCTGCTGTGTGCTGACCACACACTCACACTCACACAAACACACACACACACACTCACACTCACACTCACACACACACACACAGAGCGCCAGCGGCCGCAGATAATCATGGACGTCCTGAGCACTGTACAGCTCCAGCAGCAGCACCAGCTGCCTGTTACACACACACACACTGGTCAGAACACACTCTCACACACACACACACACACAGGTCAGAACACACACACACACACTGGTCAGAACACACACACACACACACTGGTCAGAACACACACACACACACTCTCACACACAGACTGGTCAGAACACACACACACTCTCACACACACACACTGAAAAAGTTTAACAGAATAAACCTTTAAAGTCTGACAAAACATCTTTAATGGTTTAATGCCAAAGTTTGTCGATCGGACGGCTCTCTGGCAGCATCATGATGTCATGACAGTGGGCAACACACACATAACAATAAATGTCAAGAAGGAGTCACTGTTTCCAAGCCATGCGTAAGATAACTGACAAACTCTATTACTGCAAAAACTGCTTCATGCTCAGCGGACGTCCTATCCAGCGCTATTTTAGTATCACTGATATATATTTATATTGTTTTTATTTTTATATTCTCCATTTTCATTTTCATTTTAGTTATAATTGAATTTTTTTTAAATATGTCTATAGTCCTTTTAAAATGTTATTTTTTATAACTTATTACTTATTTTATGCTAAATTAAATGGTTTTAGTATCACTGATATATATTTATATTGTTTTTAATTTTATATTCTCCATTTTCATTTTCATTTTAGTTATAATTGAATTTTTTAAAAATATGTCTATAGTCCTTTTAAAATGTTATTTTTTATAACTTATTATTATTTTATGCTAAATTAAATGAAAATTAGAAATGTTGCCTTTGCAAGCAGCTGAAATAAATAAATAGACAAACAAACAAATAAATGGGAAGCTATCTGTCACAAAAACATGACTATGAAAGTAGTTTTTGTGTTCTAGTTTGATGCACACTACCGTTCAAAAGTTTCTTTTTTTTATGTCTCTTCTGCTCACCAAGGCTGCATTTACTTACTAAAAAAATGCATTAAAAAAAGGAAAATTGTGAAATATTATTATAATTTCAAATAGCTGTTTTTTATGTGAAAAGCTGTTAAAATGTAATTCATGGCTATGATCAAAGCTGCATTTTCAGGATCATTACTCCAGTCTTCAGAAATCATTCTAGAAAGAAACATTTCTGATTATTATCAATGTTGAAAACAGTTGTGCTACTTAATATCTTTATGGAAACAGTGATACATTTTATTTTAAGGACTGCATTTATTTGTTTTTTTTTATTAACAATGTAAAAGCATTTAATTTTAATGCATCCTTGCTGAATAAAAGTGTACATATCAATCAATCAATCAATCAATCATCTCCAAATTACCAAACAACAACAAAACTTTCATTCTAATTCATTTTTATTTGAAACATGTAATGTTGTAACTCCCAATAAAGTTAGAAGTATGAATTTTGCACCTCACTTACTACAGCTTGCTCTCTCAGCAACTGCATGTTTTATTTTTCTTGGCCTCACACAGACAGTATGTGACGGTAACAAAAGAAGCACAACTAAAAGTTTCAGACGAGACCTCGTCAGTTCAGTCCATTTTAAAGCGTTTGCCCGTACTGTAACTTACATCTGCTCTCTCTGCATTTTCAGGGCTTTGCTAAAATGTATGACTTTCTTCAGAAAACTCTGGCAGACTTAGTAAACTTCTGTTTGTGATGGTGATGTTTGTGTCTTGTTAGTGCTAGTTCTGATGGGAGCCGCTGCATCTCATCCTTTGTGAGACGAAATGCAATGCTCAGCCGGGATTCTGAAGCGCAGTTCTGCGTCGCTGTTTATTTGATGTGACCTGGAGGCAGCTCTCGATGTGCAACCCAATTTAAGAGCGCCGAGGATGGGCTTTCTGTGTGTAACTGGCCCAGCTGCCTGATCTAACGCTGTAAACGGCCCTCTCGACTGTCAGAAACGCGGCTCCCGCATGCTCCGCTGAGCAAACTGCAATTTGCAATGCTTCATGGGATTGTAGTTCTTTCCCTCATTAAGGCCACTGAGTTCACAGTCTTGTACTTTTGTCTTTTTGTCCAAATTTTATTTACTTTTCTGCTTCAAATCAAAGTTTGTGATGTTGTGATTCTCCTCTTAGCTGGTTGGTTTGGTTCATGGCTTATATCGCTTTAAGACTTTTTTAAAAATCCGTATGGGAAAAAAAAACGATGTAAAAATACTTTATCTTAATATGATATTGTTTATCGCTGAGCTGCTCACCTGCCTTTATGCACATGTCATATCTGAAGAGGATTTTGGGATTGAGCAGAAGAAGGCGGTGCTCCCGGATCGGATGGCTTTATCCCTGAGGTTTAGTGTGAAGTGTGATCTGCTCTTTGTCGGAGGTGAGTGTGTGCATCTGCCTTCCTTCAGACGTGATCCGCCGGCTCATTTTCATGCAAATACACCAGCCTGCGTTTCCAGCCCCTAATAGCTCCTTACAAATGATGTGTCATTACAACGAGCTTTATTTAAACAAATTTAATACGTCTTTAATCAAGGAGGAGAATGTTCTCAAAGGTCACACACCAAATCAAGCGGCGGGTTTGGCTTGCAGACGATTAGCTCAAGGGGGAGGAGAGAGTTATTTCATGGACAAGTCATTCTCCTCCATCCTTTATTTACATTTTTATTCACTTATTAAATTTTATTTCATCACACACTGCAAACACACACACACACACAGAGTCATTTATAAGTCTATCAGCGCAGGGAGGAAAGAGCAATTGTGAGCCAATTGACATGAAAAAAGAGAACGAAATCTACACACTAAACACACAGACACAACATGTACACAGATCTGCATGTTAAACACAACATTTTACACTAAATCTCACATTTCTACATGCTTTACACACACATATGCAATAGACACACAACTCTACTTGCTCTAAAACTCTAAAAAAATAAACAAAATATACATTAAAAACACTTTTAAATTGTTTTCTTATCTTTTACTTACCTTTTTGTAATTTATATAATTTGTTTTTACAATGTGATTGTCATTTTTAGTTCTTTTTATGTCAATATATATTTGATTTATTTTTATTTAACTTTTACTTTTAGTTATTTTAGTATTTTAGTACATCAAGTTAAACTAAATGACAATAAAAATTTAAAACAATTAAAATGTTGCCTTAGCAACTAGCTAACATTAGGATTTTTTAAAATGATTATTCCAGTTTATTTAAATGCAAATGTTTTAATGGTTTTAATTTTTTTATTTTAATGGTTTTAGTTAACTATTATAATTCTGGTGCACTTGAACACATACAAAAATTAAATAAAATAAAAAATTATGCACTTTATAAACACTAATAATTCTCCAGGTCTCCAGGTATGTTTTTTTGTGACATATATTGCTTTCTCCTGTAAATGTGCTCGTTTTTTTTATTAGAGGTGGATGCATTGTTTGTGTGTGTGTGTGTGTGTGTGTGTGTGTGTGTGTGTGTGTGTGTGTGTGTGTGTGTGTGTGTGTGTGTGTGTGTGTGTGTGTGTGTGTGTGTGTGTGTGTGTGTGTGTGTGTGTGTGTGTGTGTGTGTGTGTGTGTGTGTGTGTGTGTGTGTGTGTGTGTGTGTGTGTGTGTGTGTGTGTGTGTGTGTGTGTGTGTGTGTGTGTGTGTGTGTGTGTGTGTGTGTGTGTGTGTGTGTGTGTGTGTGTGTGTGTGTGTGTGTGTGTGTGTGTGTGTGTGTGTGTGTGTGTGTGTGTGTGTTTGTGTGTGTGTGTGTGTGTGCGTGTGTGTGTGTGGGTGAATTCTGAAACCGTTCTTTGGTCCTGTAATATAAGTCCATCTGTAATTTAAACATGAATGCTCGCAGCCATGAATCCTCCATATCTAATGTTCCAAGGACTTTCACATTAATGTCACGGATTTCAAATTAGCACATAACATCTCATGGAGCCCGTCTGCGTAGATTTACTAAAACTGAAGGCACCGTGTCAAAACATCAGCTCATTTTCTGAGAGTCTGAGAAAGACTAAACGCTCTATGATAAAAAAAAATTTAAAAAGATGAAATTATAGAGTTAAAATGCAGTGACCCGTTTGGGAAAATCTGCAGCAGTCCTTCAAAATAGACCATCTGCAAACAGTTGATAATGACACAAATGCTACAATTATCCTTTACGTTGTGCAGAAAATTAAAGATCATATTTCTGCACTTCTAAAGGAATATTCAGGGTTTATTACAAGTTGAACTCAATGACTGATTAATTACTTCAGAAAACGTCTTTTACTTCTCTTAATTTATCTGGTGTTTACATTTCTTGTTTCTCAGTTCATAAAACTAAACAAAAATCAATGATTTAAAAGTAGAAATTTTATTAATGCACTTATGTTAACTTTTACATGCAAAATAATTGTTATTTTAGTCATTAAGTGTCACAGTTGTGTTTTTGATCCATGTGAACATGACAGGAGTTTAATTATTGGATAAAACTTTGCACACACAAGATTAATAAGTGATTATCAGACTATAGTCTCATGATTTACCTTTACATTTATGCATCATTTATCCAAAATTACATTGGATTTTCACACATTTTAAACATTCATGCATTCCCTGGGAATCGAACCCATGACCTGTTGTTGCGAGCACCATGATCTAACATTTGAGCTGCTTATAACATGATAAAGCATTTGTATTTTTTTTCAAACAGTGTGTATTTTATTGTTAATCCATCTTCCATTGTACAGTAAGTATATTACTGTTTTTACAAACTGAAGGACAGAAGGAAATTAATTTCAGTTGTAAAAAATAGAAAGGACATATATTGATGCACTGAACCTGTAACATGCATGCAAAACAAAAGCAAACTGATAATTGTGCTCTTATGATCATATCACAGATAAGACGTGTAAATACAGAACGATGCAGGACAGACGCAGTGTGTGTGTGTGTGTGTGTGTGTGTTGGCTATTGTTATCTTTTCTTAACCCTTGCTTTGTTAATGCGTGTTCTTGGGCTGGCATTTACTCAGAATGAATTGCTCGCTTAGACACACACAAGTAAATAAAAGTCAGCAGGGGCTGATAGTATGAAAAATGGATTTTCATTACCGTTTCATTGATTGTGGTAAATAAGGGGCCTGCGGCCCGCGCAACGCTAATAATTTAATCTAAGGTGACACCGACCAAAACGCATGTGGACCAAAATCATCCCTGAATATTAAACGAGGGCCTGAAGACAAGCGGCATCAGCGCATTTAAATGCATGCAGATTGCCGTCTAACCTATTTAAAAACAGAAATTAAACACTGTTGTCATAAATCACATTTGCGGCCGCGGATACGCCTGGTTACGCGAGCGTTTACCGGAAACCAGAAAGGTTGAAGTATCCGGTGCATTAAATTGCACGGGGATAATTAACACTTTTCTTCTGGCTATTTATAAGAAATGGGAAATGGAGCCGGTTGCACTGTGACAACAAGGTAATTGTGATGCAAAATAAAAGCTTGTGCGCCGGTCTCAGGAGAGAGACGCTATATATTCTGCTCTCGTTCCACTGCGCGTCTGGCCTTCTGATTCCACATATTCTAATGATATTTTAGCCCTGCGTTTAAGCAGACACCAGCAACTAATAGCGTCTGTAACACAGTGGCACGCGGAGAAAGACTTCATGTGTGAACTCACCTTGTCGATGGGCTGTGACAAGGGAAGTGTCAAGCGCACACCCGCTCTGATAGAATCAAACAGAAACACTTGCCCCGCGGCGGGTCTGAGCCCTGGAGCCCAAGCACTTTAACAGGGTGCGCAGACTGTCACCAATTAGTAGCTGTTAGTGGAGCCGGAGAGGGCGTCCTAATTTGACAGCTCTATCTCAGAGGTGCTGACCTGTGTCACCGCCTTGAGCTCTCGCCCGCGATCCACACGTCTGCTGAGTGTGAACGCAGACTCACCTGCTTAGAGACGAGCGCTCTGACGCTTCAGCAGTCGCGAGCCGCTGCGCTTACAAACAGACTCCAAACTCACAGGAAGAGTTCAGAAAAAACAGATCCAAACATGCTGCTTCAGAGGAACAAAGAGGAGACTTCAGACAGTTAATTGAAGTGATTACCACTCAATGCTTGGCATTTTAGCTTTTTTCACATGAACTTTTCTTCTGTTTTGTCTTTCTTTTGATTTTTGACATTCTATTCAATGGTTTATAAGCGCTTGAGTTCCCTTTGAATCAATAATTTGATTGTCAGGCTGGATTTGGGAAGCATTGGTTATAATATAATACAATAGTGAACTTAAAAGTATATATAGAACCTAAAGTGTCCAGTTTAGGAATGTCTGTAAATGTCTCTCTTAAAGTCACGATTTAAAGCAAGTTGCACATTTTTAAAGAAAATACCAAAATGCACTTACACTGCCTTTGAAAAAAAAAAAAAGACAAATGACAATTAAAAAAATAATAATAATCAACTGACATCATCATGACGGCGTGGGACGGGAAACGAAATGTTTATCTCCTCTTCCATTGATCCGATCAGTTCCTTATGGATTAAATTAAGACTAAAACGAAAATGAATGAGACTGAAGAGGTAAAGTGTTGTAAAACATTGTTTCATATTGATGTGAAACCTCTCCACTCATATAAACTCCACATAGAGCCTCATCATGGCATCTACACTTGAGTTTAAACACTTTCATTTAATTAAAATAAATACATTTTTACTAAAGAAAGTGGGGAAAAATAAGTACTATAGTATTTTGGTGGAAACTATGTCTAGCCTGATATGGAAGTTTGTCACTGCCATGCGAAAAAAAAAAAAGAAAAAAAAAAAGGTAATTGCATGATATAAACTTACAATTGTAACATATAAAACGCAGACAGAACTGCAGATAAAAATGCAAAATTATCAGAAAAAAGTGAGATTTGCATGATAAAATCTATTTCATTAGTTTTTTTTTTATTCCGTGGAAGAAAAAAAAAAAAACAGAATTACGAGATATAAACTCAGAATTCAGAAAATCTTTTTTTTTTTTTTTATTGTGAGATATAAAGTCGTAATTATCTTTTTTTTGTTTTTATTCCATGGTGAAAACGAGCTTCCGTAGCATGGAAAGGAAATGGCACAGGTCATATGAATATTTTCTAAAACAAACTTCACTGCTATACAAAAACTGAAAGATAATACTAAAAATCATTATTCAGGACAATTAGCAAAAGACAAACACTTCCTGTCTCAGCAAACAGGGCCGCCTCTGGCTGTGCTGTAATTACTCCTATTAGCACATGAAGTTCATATCCACAATCCCCTGATGATGTTCCTCAAATGATCTTCAGTCTAAATATGAACTCGAGGCCTCCAGCGTTCCAGCCACTAATAAACGGAGGGCATTTTTTCCTTCCGGATGTGTTTCAAATCTATTATATAAGAAGAAAAGCATGTGGACTAAAAGCAATCGCTAAAAAAACAGTCCTTCCTCATTCAACTGATTTAAAATACACTCCAAAGTGAATCAAGTGAAGCACCGCTTTTGATGTTTTCAACTGTGAACATATTTGCATCATTTTAAAAGTAACTGATGGTGTGAATTCAAAGAGCAATACAAATACTTTTGACTTGGCTTCCAAAAAACTTGAACTGATTACATTATGAACACAGAGTTCATAGAGCAGAGATGGTGTGTGTAGTGTGTGTCAGAACAGGAAACGTCACGTCTGATGTGTTAATGTGAGCAGAGGTGTGTGTTTAAAGCACATTACTGCTCCTTCAGGATGTTTTAGGACGTTTACAGGCGAGCGGTGGGTGGTCGGAGGAGAAGTGGCCCTATTTTCAACCCATCTGGTGCTGTTTGACCTGTGACCTGTTTTATGTAATTGCTGCGCCCGAGAGTGTGCGGTGTTTTGAAACAAAGGTTATAAATAGGGGTGAACGGCACGACACAAGCCTATATCATGACAAGAGTCATTTACATCACAGTAACGGCACGCATCGGGACATTCACCTTGCATTTCTGCTAGTCTAAATAATCATGTATTTGAAATCATTCAAATTCACATCTCATTTAATTACGAACTTGATGAACAGTTCCTCTGAACATGTTGAAACTTGAGAATTTATCCCACCATTCACCCCAAAATTGATCTTTCTGTCATCATTTACTCACCCTGATGTTATTCCAAACCTGCACGACTTTACTTTGAAGATACTTTGAAGTAAAACAACACTGGACCCCATTGACTTTCATTGCACAAACCTTTTATTCATTAAGGATGCATTCAATTGATCAATAGTGACAGTAAAGACACTCGTAATGTTTATTTCTAAGACAATAACTAGGCACTATTTGTTCAAAAGTCTAGGATCAGTACTTTTTCCCCAATTCTTTTAAAAGCAAGTAATAGTTTTATTAATCAAGGATGCATTAAATTGATGAAAAGTGTCAGTAAAGACATTTATAATGGTACAAAAGATTCTATTTCAAATAAATGCTGATCTTTTGAACTTTCTATTCATCTGTGAATGCTGAAAAATAAAACGTGTCACGGTTTCCACACAATATTCAGTTTTCAACATTGTTAATAATCAGAAATGTTTCTTGAGCAGCAAATCAGCATATTAGAATGATTTCTGAAGATCATGTGACACTGAAGACTGCAGTAATGATGCTGAAAATAACAGAAATAAATTACAATTATACATATATTCACATAGAAAACACTTATTTTAAATTGTAATAATATTTCACAATTTCACTGCATTTTTCGAATAAATAAATGCAGCCCTGGTGAGCAGAAGAGACTTCTTTTAAAAACATTAAAAAATCTTAGCAACCCATAACGTTCGTACAGTAGTGTACGTATACAGTATATTAAACAAGCTTTCCGATGTTGATTAGCTCTGGTATATGCTGTTGTATCAGTACGTGTTTATTCTAGTTCATGAGCTTCACTGCCTCAGCTTTAGTAGTTCAGCATAAAAGCTGACTTTGTGATGGTATTCATCTGTAATACTGAGAGCATCCAGACCAGCGGCGTCTGCTATATGCTGCATGTGCTCAGTCTGTAATCGAGGACGGCAGAAGTGCTGATGTTATCCTCATCATACATATGTGAAAGCACTGAGAGCATCAACTGGACATGTTCTGCACATTTATCTCTCTCAGCTCGTTTTGCATCCTTGTTATGAGTCTATAGAGCTAGTTGTCATTTAGCAGACACTTTATCATCTATCAGAACACTTACTACAGGACTAGAGGAGAAGAAACTGAACACTATAAATCGAATGCGGTAGCAGTAGTTATGCACTGTACGCCACTCTGAAAAGTGGATATATGTAAATTAATGTCAGCATACTGCATACTGCATACTACTGTTAGTAAAAAAAGTAACATGCAACAGTACAAAGCAATAAACATTTTAAGCAAACATTTGTCAAATTTTTTTAAAAGTCTCTTCTGCTCACCAAAGCTGCATTTGTTTGATCAAAAATACAGTAAAATCAGTAATATTGTGAAATGTTAAAATTTAAAACAGCTGTTTTCTATGTGAATAAATGTCAAACGCTGTTATTTCTGTGATGCGCAGCTGTATTTTCAGCATCATTACTCCAGTCTTCAGTGTCACATGATCTTCAGAAATCATTCTAATATGCTGATTTGCTGCTCAAGAAACATTTCTGATTATTATCAATGTTGAACACAGTCGTGCTGCACGATACGTTTTTTCTGGAAACCGTGATGCATTTTATTTTTCAGGATTCACAGAGGAATAAAAAAATTCAAAAGAGCAGCATTTATCTGAAATAGAAATCTTCAGTAATATTATAAATGCCTCTACTGTCACGTTTGATCAATTTAATGCATCCTTGCTGAATAAAGCAATACAAATAGTGAATAATAATGACTAGTTATTTTCTTAGAAATAACCAGCCAATGGTTATTTTGCATTTTTTATTTTTTTTTTATCTACCAATGACTTACATATGGCAGCCCAACAGAAAAATGAGAATGGAACCAGTTGTAATTTCTGCTCCACTAGCATCACTAATCAGAATTGCATAAATTATAATGACTGCTACAAACAAGTTTTCAGACTGCCATTGGACAAGAACAAACAGATAGTCCCGCCCCCAAATGTACGTGATTGGTTGAGTCAGAAATGGACATGTCACCTTGCAGGGCATCAAACTACACTTCAGATGACTTATATGAGAAAGTATGTTAGCACACACAAAGTTACTCACTCCATGCTGGTTTAGGTGCTTCGGTTGATTTGACCTATCGCTAAGCTCAAGTTAACCCTGATGGTTAAAAATGCTGATGTTTTGGCCTGATTTATGCTCTTATTGTTTATTAATCGTGGCCGGCCTCATTAGCAGTAGCTGAGGCGTGCGTTGGCTCTGAAATGCCACCCATAATGCAGGGCCACTGTGAAATGTTTTATTACAGGCTAATCAAAAGCACGTTCCCTGAAGGAGTTGCGAGTCAGGGGAGATTAGTTATCTGAAGCCCTCGCCGCGTTTCCGGCCCGTATCACCTCCAGATCTATAATGAAACATAACAAGGTTTCTGTATCGTTCAGAGATTAGAGAGGTGCGTATGAGAAGGTAACATTTATCAAAAGACCCTCATTTATCATTTATCAAAAGCACTCGCTAAAGGTCAATATCTGTCACGCATTTTACATCTTCGAGAGAAAAGCTCGCTGATATTGATCCAAGGTGTTTCGGAAGCTTCCTCTGAAGTGAACCAGAGATAATGGAGGGAAATGACAATGAATAGAAATTAAAAGCAAGATTTCTCAGAGTCTTCTGATTCTGGTCAGTCTCTGCGCTGCACTTCATTTGCATTTCCTCTCCATCACATTTACATATTTCTTTTAGCCCAGAACAGAATCTCTCACCAAAATTATGTGATTTATAAAATGCACTACAATGACCAGAACTCATTCAGCAACCTGTGAAACTAAAAAAAAAAAAAAAAGCATAAGTTTCATAAGTTTAGATTTTTCTCTTTTATTTTGTCAACATCACTTTATATTTCACGGGTAATAAATCATTATCTACAGGGTTCCTGTAAGTGAACTCACAAGCAGGTGATGAACTTTTTGCTCATTTAATGGTCAATAGTGTACAGCTAATTACTACTACTACTACTACAAAAAAAAAATAAAAAATCATTAAATTGATCAAAAGTGACACTAAAGACATTTATAATGTTACAAAATATTTCTATTTCAAATAAATGCTGTTCTTTTGAACTTTCTGTTCATCTGTGAATCCTGAAAAATAAAATGTATCATAGTTTCCACAAAAATATTGGGCAGCACAACTGTTTTCAACATTGATAATAATCAGAAATGTTCCTTGAGCAATCAATTACAGTTTATATTCAAGTAGAAACAGGTATTTTAAATTGTAATACTATTTCACTGTTTATAATGCATTAAATAAATCATCAAATAAATGCAGCTTTGATGAGACTTCTTTCAGAAACATTATTCTAAAATGTGAATGATTGAGTAACTGCACATAAAATCCAGGGCACTAAAATGGTCTAGGAATAAAGCAAGACACTTCATAACATATATTTTGAAAATGTATAATGTGATTTAAGGAGTTTTAATCAGGTATTTTCTGCATTCATTCAATACTTGGATTGTTAAGTGGAGGGGGACCCCTTCAATTTCAACAGCCAGACTGCAATTGAACTAAAATAAATGAAGTGAACATTAGTTTTATGGTGTTCCTACAAAGCTCAAAGTCAGTTCACCGCTCCTGAACAATGCACTAAACGTCTTTTCTGAGACCTGTTTTATATCCGCAGTGTTTATTACGTCCCGTGGTTCCAAATGAAAGCCATTTCCTCCCCATTGATCACCATTAGATGTTCTGCTAACAACAGGTAACTCATGAGCAGACTCAGATGTGCTCTAGTAACCCACAGTTAACACGTCGTGAGCAGCTTGACCTCTGCTGAGGGTTATCACTTCACACAAGAGAAACAAACCGTGAGGATCGAGCAGAGTTCTCTCGCAACACCCATCTGCTTTGATTAAAAGGTGGCCGTTTGATTTGTGTAATAAAGCTCTGTGACAGCAGAGTGAAGGTGGTCGCCATATGAACACGTGCATGTATTTATTTCTCTCCAGCTCTTTCTGGCACTGGGCTCTTTAAACGAGCATCTCCATCTCTTTGAGGCAGTCCAGACCATCAGTGTTTAGAAGATCTCACAGCCAGCTCTGAGGAAGGGGAAGAAGCGATGCGGAGGCATTCTCGCAGCTGTGCAAACAGACGAGCTTCAGGTGACTGCACAAGTACCTCGCTTCCCATTCCCACACAGCTTCTCATTATATCTCTCTGATTCATATTTACACAAAGTGACTCACAAATATAAATAATGCTGCAATGAGTTTCATTAATAACATCAACATTATAATCTGACAATAATGCATAACAGATGATCAGAACATTTCAGAATGTCATAAATTCATATATAACTACAGTTACGGCTTTCATATACTGTATATTCATTTCTGAAATGACATCAACTACAGATCAACTACGATATTTTGTAATGTTTGTTAATAACTTAATGAAAGGGATTGATCCCTTTAGACTTCAGATGTCTTTAGCTAACATACAGTACACACACACACACATATATAACATATATATATATATATATTATATTCTGACAATAATGCATAACAGATGATCAGTTAATAGAACGTTTCAGAATGTCATAAATTCATATTATCATACTACAGTTATGATTTATATATATATATATATATATGTGTTGACTAACATACTAAAGCACATGTAAAGTACTTTAGTTATGTAGGTATATTTTAATTTAATTGTAAATAACATGCAATTAAGTGTCACAATTCAGTTCACACTTAAGCATATTCTTTTAAAGTATGTTATTTTCATAATAATAAGTGCAATTCTTTTTCACAAGGGATGTTGGGACTTTTGAGGGAAGATGTGCATCTTGTGACATCTTGCCCCGATCTCCACAGTAGCAAACTGCTATTTAAAATTCACATGCATCGCTTCATAATGCTAAATATGCAAAACGGCTTGTTCCCAAACGTCTGCGTCTCAGCAGTATCTCGAAGTTTCTCTCATGTCAATTTGAACACGCATGAAAACACGTATTTTTAAACCTTGCTTGCTCATCCACGCACGAGCAGCAGATCTCCTTGATCGATATTCAGATGTACGGATAACTGGTTTCAGTACGTTTTCCTGTCAGTCAGCACATGTTCCCATCAGAAGAGAAGTTTCCTTCCCCCTCAAACTATCATCTGGGCTTTACAGCCGCTCTGACTTCACCCCCTCTGGAAATGGACCGGCCTGCTTTGTGTTTTCTCCACAAGGGCCCTTTTGTTGCAGGGCTCCATATGCCAGACAAGGGACTCAAAGACTTGTAGCCCCAGCTCTGGCCGTAAACACGTCTGACCTGGAGTGGGGGAAGGAAGGTTATGGAGGGAGTGGACGCTTTCTTGCCGAGCTGTGGTGGTGTGAATGGGGTGTGGGTCAGTTGTAGGTCCAACCATTGCTAAATCAATATGAGAAGCAGAGGGTCTATAGAAGAGCCCTGTGTAAGTGTGTACGTCCTCTGTCCCGAACAGGGTCCACAGAGCAGTTCCCACACACACACATACACACTGACCACAGGGACATACAACACCCTTTGTAAAGTGGAAAGACTGGGAGCAGATTGAATGAACAGTTCCCTACTAAGAAAGACAGAGCGGCAGAGTCTCGCTGTAGAAAGACTCAGATACATTGATAAGTGTCTAATTTTTATATATATATATATATATATATATATGCTACAACATCAACTACAGATCTGTTAAGTATTACATGATTGTTAATAACTTAAAGTTATTGGTCTGTATACACTTGTGTCAGAAGTCTTTAGCTAAAAAGAAAAAAAAAGATTTTGAGTGAAGAAAACCACGCTGATCTGCTGATTAGCACAAAAATGAATTCCTTTTCTTTACAAGAAGCAGAAACCTGCTTTACAGTGAGGAGCTTACACTGGAAGTGTACACTGGAAGTGTACACTGTAAATGCATAAATATTAAAATACTTTTAATAGTACAGCCACAAAATATACAATGTGTGCGCTAACATGATAACTACGTGTGTGTTAACATGATTAGTCTTAGATTTGCTTAGTATTTCGGCCACAAAACATACAGTAAGCTACATGTGTTTACATGAGTTTAGTCCTACATTTGCAAACTAACCTTTTCACACAAGTTATAACCAATAATGTAAGTTATAACCAATATGTAATGCCATAAATCTCAGCTGTAAAAATTATGATTTAAACAGCTTAACAGCGCAAATAATATACTGTACATGAAATTTTAAGCTTGACATTTAAATCTACTCATTTCTGCTCCACTGACTTCCATAATCTGTAACATTTTTGCTATTTTTATAAAAACAAGGGATGAGTTGGAATTATTTTTGCTGCTTTTACAAATGCTGCTGATTGAGTTTACATGTGCTGAACCAACACTATTCCTTAAAAACTCTCTTTCACTCACACACACACACACACACACACACACACACACACACACACACACACACACACACACACACACGTCTGGTTTGCTAACTTTGTGGGGACATTCAATAGGTGTAATGTTTTTTTATACTGTACAAACTGTATTTTCTATTGCCCTACACCTACCCCTAAACCTACCCCTTACAGGAAACTTTGTGCATTTTTAGATTTAAAAAAAACTTCATTCTGTGTACATCAACCTAAACGAGAGCTGAAAGCTGCAGAAGTGTCCTAACAGTGTGTGTGTGTGTGTGTGTGTGACGTTGAGTGGGTTGGTTTAAACAGCTCTGAGAAATGATTGGAGTGATGTGACATTTGCGTTGTTCCCAGGGTATAGAAAACAAGTCAAAGGTTTAACCTTCACTTCCGCTGAATATCCCTACATCAGCCTGAACTAATTTGAGTTTAACTTGTGAAAACTCTCCACTGGCCTGACATGGAAAAAGACTCAATAAAACACAAATGAGTTCCAGATGACCCACTGAACACACACACACTCACACGGAGAGAAAGTCTTTCCATATGCCTTCATCCTTTGTTCTGTGAAGTCAGTGTAACAGACGCTTCTCTCTGTACTCCTGCAGTCATGAGATGTGCTGCTGGCAGATTTCAGAAACATGAAACAAGCTAAATACACCCAACTGAGGGACTTCATCTGCCACATATTGTTATTTGCTTCCTTTTGTATTGTTTTTATCTCTGTGAGATCCAAATAAAGGTGGAACTACAGGATGAAACACAATGTCTACTCATGTATTCCTGATTTTCAGTGAGCTGTAGGGCCCTAAGAAATCTGTTTTATCTTTTTTATTTTTTCCAAATGCCGTTTTTTCCGTTTGAATTTTTCTGCAATCCATTTTTTTCCCCATTTAAATTTTAACTTAAATTAACTTAACTTAATTTTTTTAATTAAAGCATGTCTAATTAATTGAAATTATGAAACATTTACAAGTTAACAGCATTTTATTAAAAGAAAAAAAATAAATAAATTGGGGGGCCTGTAACATATGGCACGTTTTTTTTTTAACCATATTCTGTGTTTTTTGTTATAATTTTCCTGGATTCCATTTTAAAGGTTTAATTAGATAATCAAATTTAATAATTAATAATCCAAATTAAATGTTTAGTTTTTCTCAGAAATTTTGTGTTATGTACTTTATTATTATTATTATTATTATTTTATTTATTTATTTTCTTTCCTGGTAATCAAATGATGGCATAAAACATTAATTTATATTCTAATTAAATAAAAATGAAACAAATCTTTTTTAATGTTTTATTTTTTTTTGCAAAACATTAGGTTTACTGTTCAAATATGAAGAAAATGTGTGATTTTTACTTAAAAATAAAGTTTTAATAATTTTATTAATAGTAGTAGTAATAGTATTACTACCATTCATGCACACTAAGACACAGAAGATGAACATTAAATAGTCTTTTGGGGGTTTAATATTCACATGCATTAGTCCATACTGCCATCTGATTTAAGTGTACTGACCTACTTTTGATCTATTCATTAAAAATGTGTCAAATTCTGTGACATTCTTATACAGTAAGTTTCAGCATCATGGAAATCATAGGGCCCTAGATCTATTCTTAAAGCTGTTTATTAATTCCAGCATCACCAGTACTAGATGTAATGAAACCGCTACTAAAGTACTGAAGTTATGTTACTTACTATGAGATGCATGACTTTCACCTGCTGAATGATAACACAGGTGTGTTTGTGCCGAACAAACAGCTCATCTTTTCTTCCGAACAAGTCACAGTGGAGTATAAAGAGCAGCGTTCAGAGAGCTGAAGTGCGTCTTTGCTCAGGGCTTGGATGCGTTGGGCCGACGACCCCCTGCCCTCGAGCTCGAGCTCCTGTTAGGGTGGAAACCCATCTGATACTTCAGACGAGCCTGAGGGACAGAAACAGCCAGAGGAATCCAGCAGAAGACCCCCAACACTCACAATCAGGAGAGCCGCGTTCCCCTTCCAGCCTTCCGCAGTCAGACGTTCAAAGCTTCATCATTAAAACTGTGCCCTGGGACAAGAGCTGATCCACCCCCCGAACACCCACCACCACCACGACACACACTGTGCCTCCATTCTTCAAATAGATAGATTGATGCATAGAATGATGGATAAAATGATAGAACACTAGAACTCAATGTTAGACAGAACAATAGAACAACAGACAAGAATTTAAGACAGAAGGATAGATAGAATATTAGAATGATTCACAGAATATTAGGATAATAGAATGATAGATGTTAGAACGTTAGATCGATGGAGTGACAGATAGAATGATACATAATGATGGGTGAAATAAACATTAGAACAATAGACAGAATGTTAGAATGATATGACAGGATAAAATGTTATATCGCAAAGAAGAATAGACCATGATAGATAGACAGAAAGACAGATAGATAATATGATATATAGAATGATGAATTTATAGATAAATAGATAGACAGATTAAATAGAAGAAAAAAAAACTACTACACGTTTAGTTTTGTTTCACAGAAGAAAGAAAGTTCTTCAGCTGATGTTTGGAATGAAGCGAGGGCGAGTTTTCATTTAACACCAGATTCAACCAAAATAACACTTTTTCCAAATACGACTCCCGTTCACACGAGTGTGTGTGTGTGTGTGTGTGTGTG